ACGCACTCGATAAAAGAGACTGGCGATGACATCTGACGTCAGCGTTTTCAAAGCGTTTACGAAAATATACGTTTACGACCGTCCACACGACGACGCATAAACGGCGTTTTCAAATTTATCCACTTTGGAGAGCGGTTTCGAATTTATGCGTTTACGGTGAGCGTTTTCATCGTCTTCGTGTGGACGGAAGGCCTGAACGCATGAAAAAGATTGCGATTACTAGCGTTTGCGTTTACAATCGTCTTCGTGTGGACGGGGCCTTAAACACCACACGAGTACATACGTCCACTAATATTTATGTTTTCGAGCACATTTAAAACCCCCCGCCATTTTTATTTTGTTTAATCAGTATGCATTCGTTTAGTCACTTCAGTCCCGACAACGTTCAATCTCAGCCTACCCTTGGACGATGGAAAGACAGACACGTCCGGTTGTTAACCGAAAGCTATCTCAAATTTCAAGGCCTAATTGGACAGGGAAACAACAGGAAGGAAGGTGTGTTAAGCAAAATAGCTGACGAGTTCAATAAGCACGTTGATATAAAAGTAATAGGGGAGCAGTGCTTAAGAAAGTGGAAAAAACTGGAAACAAAACAAAAAGAAATAGAAGACAACAACAGGCAAACGGGCAGAGCGCATAAATCTTGGAACTTTCACAAGGAAATGGAGTAGTGCATTGGCGATAAAGCAACTGTCAGACCAACTTTTACATTCAACTCAGGCTCCAGTGCGTCTTCGAGTGCTCGTTCACATTCACCTCAAGCAATTGATGACAGCTCAGACGCTGAAAATTATTCAGTGGATTCCGAGGACGTCAAAGGTAAAGCAGCTGTTGACCCAGAATCGAAGCAAAGACGGCAAACGAAAAGAAAAAGAAAGTCACTTTCATAAGCTTCCGAGATGCTGGGATTTTTGAGGGAGTATGGAGAGAAGCGCGAAAAGGTAGAGGAAGAAAAACTTAACCTTATGAAGACAATGCAACAAGAAAAAAAAATTTTTTTTGGTCAATTTCTAAGTTTTCTTAAAGATAAAAAGTGGCTAGAAATGTAAAGGAACATGTTTTAAATTTCACCAATATAAGCTTAATATTTGTAGCCAAAAAAAATGGTCCTTTTACAAAGGGTTGATATATTCAGTAGCCTGGGGTTTTACTGTACCTTAATAATGGATATCCCCCATCCCCCTGTAAGTAAGTATCACCAAGGAATTTGTCGCCACTCGTGTTCCACAACATAGAATTACGAAGCACTCGAGAGTCATGAACAGACCCTGGCCATCCCACAAAAACATCGGTAAACAGCATATTGTTATCACACACCAACTCGAAGAAAATAGTAGAAAAATTAGTGTTAGCAAGCTGTAAGCGAGCTTAATGACAGAGACTTTACTGATGTGTGTATGTGTGAAAATCCAGAATATGCTCATAACTTATTTTATGGTAAACTAATGGAAAGATGTGATAAATGCCTACCTAATAGATGAGTGGCAAATAAATTGAGTTGAGTGACATAATGTTTTGGTGTTCTCTTTTTTGATTGTACCTGAACATTCAGTGAGTGGAATTTCTCGCGGTTAATATACGCTTTCCGGTCGCTCTCAGGTGCCCTGATCCTAATATGGGTCCCATCTATTATCCCAATTACTCCAGGAAATCTTCCTTCATCTTCAAAAGATTAACTGATCTCAAGTAATTTATTTCCCGTGATGTGAATTCGAACAGAAAACAAACAGTCAATACTTAGGCCTGCGAACTAGCAAGAAAGTGGGTAATCGTTCTGAGAGACATTATGATACTCAACCGTAGGTCAATTGATATATTCATGGTAAAGGTCCACAACTGCCATACCAACTCTTCGGAATACCCTGTTGTAGATGCTCCTTGTAACAACTAAACGATCGGCTATGGCCCTTGCTGGTTCTTGGTTAGCCATGCCCCACAAAAAAGTTAAAATTTGCTTCTGAGGTGGAATCACCGGTTTTCCAGAAGGATCACCTAATGGAATACGCCCTGTTCGGATGATTTCTCTGGAGAGGACCTCGACTGTTTCTTTAGTCATTGTGCTGTCTAAACTCATCTGCCAAATAACGGGGAATTGTTTGCTCAAAATAACCCCTTATTTCAGTTAAATTTCGGCGCATAAAACAACTCGCGGCACTAAACACAACAATGTCATCATCATCTTCCACAAGATCAGTTTAGTCGAAATCGTCATCTATAGACATCAACACAATATCAGCCTTTATTCATCTATAGACTTCAACATAAGCATTGGTGATCCCAGATCCGCCATTTTAAAAGAGAGCGCGAAATTTTTTTTTGCGAGGGGAATGGAACGAGACCGTTCGAACCGTCACGATCCATTCACCCCCAAGAAATATTTGAACCTCGGCCCGGAAATTTTGGTTGAATGGATCGCGCCGGATATTTGCCGTTTGCGAAGGTCACCTCGTTTCTTTTTTCTTGCGTGAATCTGTCGCTCTGCGAGGACTGATTAAAAAAGATATCACTGCTAACTTTGGTGTTTGAATTCACCTCATTACTCTAACGTTTACCATCAAGGGGTTGTATTTTTATAAGCAACTAATAGATATTTGGAAATTATAACCATTTGAGCGTTCAAAGGAAATTGCGCCAAAATGCTAATAACTTGCACAACGTACAACACAAGTACTTTTTCTTTAGTTTTGATAACAAAGCAATTACACATAAGAAAGAGAAATTTTGTTTGAAAACAATTAAATGGTTAACGCAAACCACGACGGTAAAGGCGACGGGGACGTGGCAAAACAAAAGAACTAATGGGCAGAACATAGCTCAGCACGTGCCTTTGAACACTTTTTACATTTCTCAGCCGTCCTCTACAAAGCGATCAACTTTGGATTTGCGTGGTCTATGGACAAAAAGCCCAACGGCAAATAATTAAAGTTTCCACAAGGAATCCAAGGCGGCTCACATACGTTGTGCTGAAGTTAAAGTGAAGCGTCGCATGAAACCGTAAATATGCAGCTTTCACGAAATTCTAACTAGATAAATATAATTCATTTTTAATCGAAATCTTCCGACGCGTTGCCGACTGCGAAAGGCCCTTAAAGGCCCGTTTAAACGGTTCCAACAATCGACCAGCAATCGTTGGAATTGTGCGGCGGCCTTTTTAAAGGCTTTACAAATGTCTTATGAAGGCCTTACTAAGACCTTACAAAGGAAAAGTTGAATTGATGTTGAACGAAAGTTTAAACAGACCTAAACGTGATTTAACACGCCTTCAAAAGCTTTAATTCAACATTTCTGACGTTTTCACACTATTGGACGCATACACCGAAAATAAGGTTTAACAAATTGTTGAATGCAAACTTCATAAGTATAAATTCAAATTCATTCAGTATAACTGTCTACTGAATCATTAAGTTTGTTTTTGATGAGCTGTCATATTACGGATTGATGACTGGACAGTTTTAACTTGTTGAGTATGGTAAGCATACTCAACTAGTTAAAAGATAGCTGATTGGCTAATTTTGTACTAGTTAGTTCAGTCCAGATTCTTTTTTAGCGTTCCAAAAAGGTTTTAGCCTGTGTTCAAGGCAAACAGTTACTAAGGTCAAGTTACTTGGAGCATTCTTCCAAATAACTCAATTTGATCTGTCAACACTCGCATCCGCTGCATTATCAACGTCATAAAATCAAACGTACTGACGAGAAATTCTATAAAAATGCTTGTTTCAAGAAGAAAAGGGGCTTTCCTGCCCATTGCCGGGCGATAAGATGTATTTATTTTACCTCACGGACTGTTCACCCTAAGAAGAAGGACCCACTCGTTTCCTGTTCTCTGCCTTGATTGTTAAAACTGGAAAGTATCGCTTTGTCGTAAACGTGTCAACCGCACGATCTGCTCAACGCGGGAAGTGGAATATTACGCCGCCACAAGAGTCACGTAATAAAACCCAGACGATAGACGGTAGACGTTAGACGATAGACGGTAGACGTTAGACGATAGAAGATAGACTATGGGCGATAGGTGGTAGGCGATAGACGATAGACGAAAGGCGATATACGGTAGATAATACGTTAATATACGATAGATTTTGTGACGGAACTCAAAATGTTCACGCAATCGCTTTTTGTCCCATAAATCCTTCTTTTGCGCGGCGTTATGAGCGAAATTCTAAAACTGTCACGCATTCTCGTGAATGTCGCATAAATCTTTCTCTTTTCACTTGACCGCTTATGTTTACTGTCAGAAAATTGGCTGTCTTCGGGAAAAATGCTACGCATGCTTTCTGGTTCTTGAGAAAATCCATTTAGAAATTGGACTATGGAAAACATTTCGGTTATTGTCACGTTCCGAGACGTCGTGTGATATATGTTTTTTAACTCCTAACAATAGAGGTAACTCACGTAAAAACAAACCTTCGGCTTTTGGCCCCCGAAGAAATTTACAGTTTTCGCACCTCAAGTGTGGGTCTACGTATGTCAATGAAACGCAACATCGAACCTTCCCTGCGTGTAGACGTCTTCTACTTCTTTTGTTGCACGCAGAAAAGGGACGTCTGCAAAACGCCGTCAATAATCCCGTAATCGTGTTCTAGCGTCCCGCTGACAGGGTATTCGATTTCGCATAAATTATGAAATGATATCCGCTGACCAAAGTTCAACAGTATGAAAAAAAATGGCGGACTTTCAGGCTGCTGTGAAGCGTGTTTGTGAAGTGTTTAACGCCTCTTCACATGGAGAGGATATATATGTCATCTTGACCTTGGTTACCAACTGTAACCATGCCTTATCACAGGTTATTACAACCTTTACCATGATAAAATTTCTTTTGTCTTGTGCGGCATTTGCCGAGGCATCAGTTGGCGTTTATACACGGAGAATGTTTACCTAGGCAAGTAAACTCTGGTATCTCGGTAAAACGTTCAAGGCTAAACACAGCATCAGTTTTGAAAGGTATGTTAAATCCTCTTCACGTCATATTTATTGAATAGAAATAATTCCAAAATACACACCTTGAGTAGATGTGTCCTGATCCACTAAGTGATTTAGAGCTTCTTGTTGCCTTGCATCACTGCTGTTTCTTGATGTAAATGTACCACCACCTGCCAGTGCAAAATCCAGGCCTAACCGAGTAAGTCCTTTTTATAAACACCAATGAAATACCAGGTGAGCTTCCGCGCGAAAACGTGATATCTTTATGCGTTTTAACGTACGACCCACCCGGTCGCGCTCGCACAAATCCATAGAAAGTCTGATATGGTGAAAGCTGACGTGTGTAAGGCCAGACGGGTTGACGTGAGCAGGTCGGGGAAAAAACCGGCCAGCCCTCCTACTCAATAAGTACTTAATATTACATGGCCGATTGGAGATGCGAACTTTCTCTGCATCTCCAAGCGGCAATATAAGAACCATTTCTTTCACTGTAAAAAAGGAAATTACCCTCACTGATTAAAAACTCCACACTGCTCTTCAAATTTCTTAAAAAGGAAGTCACCGTGAACAGCATATCAAAAGTGCTCATTAATGTGCTTCATGCAACATAAATCTCTACTTTTGTGATTCTACCTTGTTCAGAACAATTGATCTGTCGTTCTCCTTTTAATGCTTGTTGCCCTGGTGGCTGTTGCTCTCCTCCTTCTGCTGGTTGCCCTGGTCGTTGCTGGTTTTCTCCCCCTCCAAGTCTTTCATCTGGTTTTTAGTACACAAAATGAGTAAATTGAGATCCCCGTGGCCGTGGGAAATATCAAAGGAGTTGGCCACTCAAGAAAAATTACCAAAAATGTTTACCAGCCAGAAAGAAAATGAAGAATCACATTTGGAAGTGAATACAGGTACAATTATTTTGGTTTGATTGAATCACAATCTTATAAGGAACTGAATGCAAATGAAAGACCGATGATGTCATTATTTTTACTGTATCCTTACACATGTTTTCCTATTACTCAGCCGACACTGTTATCAAACCAGAGCCACGGTTGAATGAGAAAGGTGTGGTGCTCTTTGGAGAAAGTGGTGTCCTGGATCCTGGGGTTGTTACTAGGAAATTAGACTACCATCTGAAATTCAGGTGAAGCATCTCAAAGATAGCGAGCCACAGTTGCGAGTGTGTAACCTCAGAGGCGCTGGTCATAATATATCGAGCGTTTGCAAAAATCTAAACGACAATTGTTGCTTCTTCATCTCGTAAATTTTGCCGGCAGCCGGCACTCAGTGAGAACCTTGTGTTGGAAAAGAACTTTAGTCCAACAATGACTCTACCCTCCCATGAGTACCAAGTTGGATAATCAACTGTGAGATAGGCCAACATGTCAATTAATATTCAAAATGTCCACCAAGCCCAATTCACAGGGGTAGACAGGTGAATTCCAATCTGAAAGTACTCCCAAAACACTAAAACTAAAAAAATACCTACATGGACACATGAAAACAACAATAAAGTTTGGCCTCTTCGTGGTAACGTTCAAGACCTTGACAAACAAATACACATACGTTTAGCTAATCGAAAGTTACCAACCTGCAAATTTCCGTGTCCTATCAATCTGTGAAAACAGAACAAAAGAAATCTGCCCGTTTTCCTTCATAGTAAGAGCACCAACAGCAACTGCCTCGTCTTTGAATGTAAAGGAAATTGGAGCTCCAAGGCCTTTTCCATAAATGTCGAAAATGCTAGCGCTTTTTATCTTGGAATTGTGGTCAGCAACATATGTTTCTTCTTCTGCAATCCCCATCACCTGGTATGGTCTTATGGCAAATGAATCTGCGCATGGCTCAACGACGTGGCAGTATAATTCAAAATTTCGTAAGTCTTCCTTTACTTCACTGCGTATGGTGAATGGACGGTACATCAGTAGACCGGAGCTATGTTTTCGAATGATGCCAAATTTGTTTGGATCAACAGGCACAATTGCGAGGCCTGATTTGAAGATCACTTCGTCGCATACTATGCTAACTAGTTTCTTCGGTTCTTTGTCTTTGCCTTTTGATTTCTTGAAATGCAAGTAGTAATCACTTAAATCATGAGATGTAATAACCTTGTCGCTTGTGATCAAATGAATGATTTTATCACACTTGAGAAAGAAGCCCTTTACAAGGCTTCCGGTACCAACAAACTTGCCGCCTTGCCCATGGATGGGTTTCCATATCCCACAAGTGCCAATGATGCACTTACGTTCCCTTCTTTCGATGTCTCTTGTAAGTGTATGGGAAATCGCATCACAGGTGGCTTCACTTGGAAGTGACATTTCTTTCTCATCAGACCGTCAAGGTCCCATGTTGGAAAATTGAGGAAATGATCGAGAATATGCAGAACTCATGATATGCCTGTAGCCAATAGAATATTCAAGTGGATTGAACTCAAGATGCTGATAACCAATCGGAAGAAAGCAAAACTTGCCTTCTATGCAGTCAGGCTCGAAATGCAAATGAACGGAACAATAATTTAGTTTTATGAAATCAATGCAAATAACTTAGATCATATCCAATAAACAAGAAATCAAAAACTGTTTCCCTTTAAAGCAACTTTTGGCAAAGAAAATCAACAATTAACAAAAAAGTCTTATTTACTTGAGATGCAGTAACCATTGCACGACTAAACAGACATGCCTCGAACATCAGATCACGTTAAAATCGCAGGGAAGGATTTAGTCGCAGCAGGTACTCTAACTAGAACACCTCAGGAAAGTTTCCTACAAGAGCTGATAAACGTCTGGCAGAAGATCTGAATCCAAGTGCTTCCGTTTTGGAAAGTCTACCAGCTACAGAGAGAAGACTGGAAGAAATACGACTCCACCAACAAGAGTATAAAAAATGCAGAAAACTTCAAGAAGTTTGTATCGATGGTTAGCCAGATAGATTCGAACTGAAGGGAGCGCTTAAAGCTCATTGGCCAGAAAGAGGCGGCATTACCGTCCAAAGAGGCAATAAAATTTTGGAGCAGCTGATTTCATTACCCGTGCAGCCTTAAAATTTAAATTTAAGTGACTGCTTTAGGTCTGTCTCATTAAAATTCCGTAAACCACATCTTCGTTTATTCGCTCTAAAATTACATTAAATCTACAGCTTTTTTGGCTCTACATCTCAAAAAGCAACGACAAAGATCAAAGCCGTGCGATTCAACAGGTCCCTTGAGCGTCCTGGTACTGGTTCGGCCAATCCCAGCATTCCTTTGGACACAGTAATAGCACAATCGCGTATTACACCTGGTAACTCATTCGTGTAATCGAATCAACATTCTTCAAATGACGTCAATTGTATACGATTTACATCTTCTATAATGTTCGGATTCAAATCCGAACAAAACGTCACTTTTACAAGTTATAGACTCTTTTTTTCATATGATCAAAATTAAAATTGAAAGCATTTCAAGGAAAATAAAGCTTGTAAGAGCAGTTCAACTCGTCATATATAACACAGCGGGTTAGCAGTCTATCGTTCGATTTTTTGCTTAAATTAACCACAAATAATAGCCGGCAATAGTCTACAGAAATCGTCTCTGAATTCCATCGATCTTGTCTAGTATACATCGAGTAGTACTTCTGTAAAGTAGCCCTTGTGAGATGTTGCTTGTAATTTGTTCACTTGATCCAGTAGAGCATATAACTTCCCTCAGTAATGATGAATAAATTAACTGTGTGACTTTATACATCTAACCACTGTTGCAGTTACCAATCTAGAGAAGAATCCCGGTAACTCGAACTCCCAAAGGAAACGAAAAAGGAATCGAGTTAGCGAAGGTTTGAGCTATCAGTATTAAAGTTGAATTGCTATGACCCCGATTATTACTAGTAACGAGTCATGTACTTTCAATTCTTGCATAATCACCAGTCACTTTTGGAACCTTAACTTTATTCAGTGTAACAAGGTTAGGTTTAGTTTACAAATTTTAGGTCAATGTGTTGGGTTTTCATAAATGTTACCAAGTTCACCTCCATCGGAATCAAAGGTTGGTACGTGTTAATCAGCTATGTTCTGACACTTAGACGTTTATCGAACGACGTTACTAAGGTAAATTTTAGCCAAGGGAAGGTACAATTAGTTCGAGTCAACCGAGCTCTAGTTCCTTGGGAGTGATGAAAATAGCGTCAAATCGAAGGGAAATCTGATCTTGCTCGAGTTAGCGGGAGATTGGAATAAACTGACCAGGTTCGATTAAGTTGGGTTCTATTGTATTAGGAAAGCAATGCACAATTTCTCAACTGGGTCGAAAAACCGAATCTTCCATTGTATTAACACGGTCAGTTGAGAGCGGTGAGCATAATTATAGTCCGAAGCGAAAGAGTATGATGCTTAATTCGTTCCGATATTTTTTTGTGAAAAAGTCAGTTTTGTCCTTTAAAAATGATAAAGAACAAAATGGTCAAGAGTTTAAGAAAGAATCAAATGTATTGGCTTTATCATTTGCAGTTTGGATCGAACAGACGAGCAGAAAGACTACTGCATTATAGCAAAGTAATGGTACGTTGCCAAAATTGTTCAAGCGTTCCTTTCGATTTCTTGACACGTTATGAGAATTATGAAACATATCGAGGCCAAGAAGTTTCAAAAACTGATGAGTCAAGTTCCTAAATTTTTACAGAGCAGAAGAAAAGTGGTTCAGTTCCGAAATCATCGATAGAAACGCGAATGACAACGAAATATGTCAGTAGCAGCGAGGCGTCTTCATCTTGTGATGTCCACCACAATGTCAAGTAATTAGCAGAAGATGGTTCATACAATAGATTGCTTTCAATCACGTGATTCCCAGTCATGCAAATTTATTGAAACACAAAAGAAAATTTTGCAGCAATATACGAGTGTGGGTGGATAGGGATGAAATAGAGACACAACGCGTGTGATCCTAAGTGCAGATAAGAGCGAGACAAAAAAGGTTAAAAAGCCCACTAATTCTTGTTTCAAACAAATCAAGATTAGCTTGTCATGAAAAGGATTTGCCAATTTTTGAGAGTAAGCTGTGATGTGTCAGGTTTATTCGCCATCTCTAGCCTGGCGTGAAATTTAATTTTAACCTAATTGAATCTACATTCTTTGACTGACGTTAAATGAATATGATTAATGTTTCTTAGAATGTTCGAATTGAAATTGAAAGAAAAAATATCTGAACTAAACGTCACTTGTAGAAGTTACAGAGTAATTTCAAAAGATCACAATTGAAATTTAAAACATTTTAAGAGAATAAAAAGTTTGTAAGAGCAATTCAATGAACTCGTCACATATAACACAATGGTTTATCGTTCCTTTATTCGATTTCCGCATCATTGACCCTATCGAGGCCGTAATCAGCGATGGATAATCTGTGAAAAATGTCTTGAGAACCAACAGATAATAGCCGGCCTCAAACTACAAGAATTGTTTTCAAATTCAATTTATCATATTGGATGGGTATCAGGCGGTAATTTGATATTCCTTTCTACAAAGTTACACTTGTTAGATCTTGTTTCCAATTTATTTGCTCGACCCGACATAGCATGTAACTTAAATTCGAAATGATGTTAAAAAACAACCGTAACTTTATTGAAGCCTAGTTCCCACTAGCGACATAACGATCGTAATCATAATCATAAGCACGAACATAAACATAAGCTTCTTATGTTCTAGTGGGAACGGTTTTCAACTGCACTCGCAAGCTTTTCCTTCAATCTGGCCGCCATCTTGAAATGAACTGACCCGAAAGTACTAGACCTAAACTGTAATTGGCTAAAACACAATGATCCCGTTGCGTCATTGTTTCTCAGTATGTGGTTATGATTTTCGCGTTCCCACAACAAAGAAAAGCAACATAGTCATAGTCAGAGACATAATCATTATCATAAGAAAATGGTCGATCATTTTCTTATGATTATGATTATGTTGATCATAAGGGCGCCTATGATTATGTTTCTGGACGTTCCCACTAAGACATAAGCGACGTAAGAGCGTTATGTTCGTGCTTATGAATATGATTATGATCATTATGTCGCTAGTAGAGCCTTGATGTAGACTGTTTGTAATTTGAAAGAATCTTTGCAAAAACGTTAATGCTGCTGTTCAATGATTTCCATGTTTTAATTCTAAAGCATCTTTCAGAAGGAAAAACTCTTAAGAGCGTCTCTTAAATTGAGGTTATCACCTACAAGCTTTAATCGAGTCTGTATTCGTACCATTTGGTTTTGTTGCTATACGCATAAAACGCCAGCGCGGGCAAGATCATTTGTGTCGACAAGAATATTTTAAACAGAGCTTGAAAGCGAGAAATAATTAATGGGTCGTTAATGGACGGCACCCATGTACAGTAATTATCGACTTGACTGGGATTTAATACCAAGGTGTTCGGAGTTGACTCATCTGCCATATTCAACGCTTTTTGGTGGTTATTAGGGATTCTAGCCAAATCGTGGCGCTGTTGTTTACATGAAGATCAGTTTTTAAAGTGAATGATCCGATCCTGTCAGAACCGAACTTCGAAATCGAAATACAGTGCGTAATACTACTGTCACGTACACTTATCACTTTTTCAGCAATCTGTGTTCAGCAGAAGGCGTAGATTGTAATCTTGTTGGCGTTGTGCTAAGCATTTTATAAAGCCCCGTTTTTTCCGACCGTAAGATGGCGGCAACTTTCGGTCGGGATAATGGTAGACTTTCAGATAGCTACCTACACAGACAACTGGCTAGATATTTTATGAATCCAAGTGAGTTAAGCAACAGAAACTTTTCATCAGTCCGTTAAACTACAAACAATGGCGTTTGGAACGAGAAATCGACGCATCTATCTACTCAAAAGCGAAAGTGCTGACTGTATGCTTTGATCATTCGTTTCAATAGATATTTGGAATCTAAAATAGAAAACTTTTAACTCACCATTTCAACTCAAGACTTTCAGGGACTATTGGATTCGACGCAAGGACATTGAGTTCATCTAAAAAGTCAGAGGAGGCGCAGTGCATTATCATCTCGTGATTTTATCAAATGTCTTTTTTCGGGGCGTTACGTCATAGACCTTAAGGATCGGACAAATCTTTGACGCGAACGTGACATCATAACCGAAAAAAAAAGTGGGAACCAGAACCTCGTCGGTCACGTCACTTGTAAACGTGACTAAAATGAGTACGCGGACGTTTCCTCGAATTCCCCATTTTCCCGATAAAGCGTCTCGGTTGTTTTCCTTACGATTGTTAAGGCTGCTACTCGAGAAAAGCTACAGCTAGTACGTGATGTTCATTACAGTGCCTCTATTATTAAAACTTTAAGTAATTATCAGGAGATGGTTAATACAATAGACTCACGCTATAAAAGCCAACCAAATTTACCGGAACACAAGAGAAATTTATATCAGAAAAGAGTTCAAATCCCAGAGCGCCGTCCTGGTTCACTAAGTGGGAGTTAGGGGTAGGACATTTCCTCTGCCCGCTTAGTTCTACGGGTATCTAGCTATG